CACCTTAAAGAGAAATGTGAAGTTTAAAAAGCTTGTAATGGTATTATCTCTGGTGCTGTTTATACACAATATTATTTGTCTAAGGACTACATTTCTTTTAGCCGAAACTGCTTTGGCTTAATGGATGGAGCGTCGGCTTGGGGACTGAAGGGTCCCAGGTTCAATTCCGGTCAAGGGCATGTACCTTGGTTGTGGGCACATCCCCGGTAGGGGGTGTGCAGGAGGCAGCTGATGGATGATTCTCTCTCATCTATGTTTCTAACTCTCTATCCCTCTCTCTTCCTCTCTGTAAAAAAAATCAATAAAATATATCTTAAACAGTATTATTTATTTTTTATATTTTTGGACTATAGATAACTAGAATTATATTTTTAAAAAAATTTGTGTCTTCTTTTTATTTTTTAAAACTAAACATTATCCATTGAGAACCATTAATGTTAAAACATCCTTTTTAAGTCATGTATAGTATTCTATTCTATTACCATACCATAATTTATTTATTCACTCTTCTGTTGTTTCCAATTTAAGGTAGCATTTTACACACAAAAATGCTACCTAACTCCTCGTGCGTATGTGTAAAAAGTATATTCTCACTATTACAATTTTGGGTCATAGGGTAGGCATGTTTTATGTTGGAAAAAAAGACAAATTGTTATTTATTTATTTTTATAATGCATTATTTTTAAAAATTTATACTTATTGTTGAAAGTATTGCAGATGTTCTCTCCTTCCTCCACCCCCCCCCCTCACCATTGAACTTCTTCCACTCTGCATCTGTCTATCCCAGGCCTTCAGCACACTATTGTCTGTGACCATGGAGAAGGTACATATATTCCCCCTGGTTTATGTCTCTCTATTGTAACCACTGCCTGTTCCCCTTCCCTCTGAAATTCATCAGTCTGTTCCATGCTTTTATTTTGCTCATCAGTTTATTTTGTTCATTAGATTCCACATATGAATGAGATCATGTGATACTTATCTTTCTCTGACTGGCTTATTTCACTTACGATAATACTCTTTAGGTCCATTCATGCTGTTGCAAATGGTAAGAGTTCCTTCTTTTTTACATTTGCATTGTGTTCCATTGTGTAAATGTACCACAGTATTTTATCCATTCATCTGCTGATGGGCACTTGGGCTGTTTACAAATCTTAATTTTTGTAAATTGTGCTGCTATGAACATATGGGTGCATATGTTCTTTCTGATTGGTGTTTTGGGTTTCTTAGGATATATTCCTAGAATTGAGATCACTGGGTCAAATGGGAGTCCCATTTTTAATTTTTTGAGGAAATTCCATTAATATTTGACAAAGGGGGCAAGAACATATAATTGAGTAAAGACAGTCTTTTCAATAAATAGTGTTGGAAAATTGGACGGATACATGCAAAAAATGAAACTAAACCACCAACTTACACCATACACAAAAATAAACTGAAATGGATGAAAGACTCAAATGTAAATCATGAAACCATAAAAATATTTTTTTGAAACCATAAAAATCTTAGAAGAAACCATACACAGCAAAATCTTAGACATCTATAGTAGCAATATGTTGCTGTTACATCTCTTAGAGCAAAGAAAACGAAGTAGAAAATAAATAAATGGGTCTACATCAGAATAAAAAGGTTCTGCACAGCAAAAGAAATCAACAATAGAGCTTTCTTTTTCTTTTGTTGATTTCTGATAAGGGGTTAATTTCCAAAGTGGACATACAGAAGGTCAAGAGACATATGAAAAAATGCTCAAATTTACTAATCATCTGAGAGATGCAAATCAAAACAACAATGAAGTATCACCTCACACCTGTCAGAATGGCCTATCATCAACAAATCAGCAAATGATAAGTATTAGTGAGGTTATGGAGAAAAGGGACCCCTAGTACATTGCTGGTGGGATACACTCTGGTTGCAGCCGCTGTGCCAAATGTAAAGTGATTGTAGAAAATTATGTGATACTTGTCTTTCTCTGACTGCTTTTTTCATTTAGCATGATACTCTCCAGGTACCTCCATGCTGTCTCAAAGGGTAAGAGATTATTCTTTTCTTCTTCTTCTTCTTCTTCTTCTTCTTCTTCTTCTTCTTCTTCTTCTTCTTCTTCTTCTTCTTCTTCTTTTTCTTCTTCTTCTTCTTCTTCTTCTTTTTTTTACTGCTGCACAGTATCCCATGGTATAAATGTATCACAACTTTTTTAGTCACTCATTTACTGATGGGCACTTAAGCCCAAGGTGCTTTGGAAGTACCAGGGAGAGGCACTTGGCTAGACCTGGGCTTCAGAGGATGCTTCTTGACCCAGATCATGTGCCATTAGTAGGTGAGGCCCAGGGCAATGGTAGAGGTTTGGGTGGAGTGGGAGAGCTGTATAAACAGATGGAACAGCATAGGAAAGGGCTCAGGATAGTGTAACCAGACAATCAAAGAATCCTGGCTGCTGGTCACTACTTGAATCAGAGTCAGGGTTGAATCTTATATGGTCTGATCACTTGGTGCCACATTGGGTATGAGAGGCAGCTGGCAACCCCCAATCATCCCTGAGGGCTTCTCACCTCCTCCCTGCTCCTGAGGGGTGATCGTGGCAGCAGCTGCACTCACACCCACTGATGGTGCTCGCCCTGCTCACACCAACCAATAGCTCCAAGCTGTCATGTGGTTGGCAGCGTTGGAAGCGGGACTGCCAGCAGACAGGTGACAGGGCACTGCTGGAGGGATTGGGCGGGAGCACGGAGGATGGGCGGCCCCCTAGTGGCCCACAGTTCCTTTCTTTTTTTTTTTTTTTTAAATTTCTTTATAGATTAAGTTATTACATATGTGTCCTTATTCCCCCATTATCCACAGTTCCTTTCAAGGTACACGAATTAGTGTACTGGGCCCCTAGTATTGGATAAAAAAGGATTACGTGGGGAAATAGAGATTTTAGGTATGGAAAAGTAGATTACAGGCATGGGGAAGTAGGAGGCTGGGGTGGGACTCCATTGTTTGGGCAATAAGCTTGTTAATCTTTTCATGGTAATAGGCTTTTCTTGAAGAAAATGGGCCAAATTACAAGTTTGACTCCCTGGTTCAATATAGACTCCCAATCTTGGGGGCATACAACTCCCAGCCAGGTCAGAATGTCCTTTCTTTAGCCAACACAAGGCAATCATGGTTAACAGAGCACCATTACCGGTAATATTTCCCATAACCACAGCTAATCCCCAATATTCTTCTTTTTTTTTTTTTGGCCCCTAACAATAGCAGCAGGTCTCTGCCTCTCCTTTGATCTATTGACTTGCCTATAATCTTCCTTCATAGATTTCTTCCTAGGGTGGTGGTGTCTCTGGCTCTCTCAATCCTGGGAGAGAAAAGATGATTGAACTGCTTTAATAGCCGATCAAGCCCTCCTAACTACATACACCAGCTGCACTCACATTCCTAGGTTCTCCTGGATCAGTGGTTGACAAACTATGGCTTGCAAGCCACATGCGGCTCTTTGGCTTCTTGTTTTTAGCAAAGGCCAGCTTAGGAGTACCCTAATTAAGTTAATAACAATGTACCTTCCTATATAGTTTAAGTTTAAAAAATTTGTCTCTCAAAAGAAATTTTAATCATTGTACTGCTGATATTTGGCTTTGTTGACTAATGAGTTTGATGACCAATGTCCTAGACCCACCAAACACACATGTACCTTTGAAGACCACCCCTCAAAATCCCATCAATACAAGCTCCTAAAAGAAGAGTCTTTACACCATTACCCAGTTACACACCAATAATAATATAGGGCTATTCTTCAGAGGAGTGGCTGAGAATATTTTAGTGTTTAAATGATCGAAGTCAGTGTCTATGGCAGGTGGAATTTACACCCCACTATAAAATAAACCACCCTAAATGCCTGTTCCTGACAAAAGCAAATCAAGTTCCTCCCAGGGCACTAAGAGAACCCTCCAAAGGTGAGAGTGTTTCTCTGATAGGAATCCAGAAAAGTGGAGAGAAGGAATCTAGCTGCTCTCAACATGAGAATGGAAGCCTGTCTGAATGGGCTCAGTCCATAGGAAAAGTAACTATGTTCATGGTGGGTAGATCCTGTGAACATTTTTTTTTTTTTTTGGGACATCCATTCACCCAAGGAACTAGTAAGATTAGTCACTTGAAAGTGAAGAACTGAGGTCAACTGAAAGTGAAGAACTCGAGTCCATCTTTGCTCACAATGCAGGGGCCTGAGAGATCTGGCTGCGGTTGGGTGAAGGCTGAGGATAGAAGAGCTTTCCTGTATGAAGTTCAAGGTCAACTCAACCTACAGTCAAGAACTCTGCTCTAAACTATAATAAAATACCGCTCAATACTCACTAGGACAACTATAATATTGGGGGGTGGGGGGAGAAGCATTAATGAAAATGTAGAGAAATTGGATTCCTCATACCTTACTGGTGGAAATGTAAAATAGCGGGGCCACATTGGAAAACATTTTAGGCAGTTCCTCAACATACCCACTTCTGGCTACATACCCAAGAGAAATGGAAACGTGTTCACACAAAAACTGGTACACAATGTTCATAGCAGCAGCGTTATCCGTAAGAGCCCCAAACGGGAAACAACCCAAAATATTCATCAACTGATAAATGGGTAAACAAAATGTGGCATACCCATATGCTTAGAATATCATTCGTCAACATGAAGAAATGTTATGCTATGACAGGATATGCCATGACATACATAAAACTTTAAAATGTTATGCTAAGTGAAAGAAACCAGTCACAAAAGACCAGCTATTATAACTGCATTTATGTAAAATGTCCCTGAAAGGCATACCACTGGAGGCACATCCATACAGAATCAGATCAGTGACTGCCTGGGGATAGGGCAAGGGCGGGGTAGGGAGGCGACTGTGAGTGCGAATGGATTTTGGGAGCGTTTAACTAAAGTCCTACAATCCGCTCCTCTCTTAGCGGGCGTGGCTGGGCGGGTCGGTGCCAATTTAAAGCCGGGCTGCGGAGGCCCGTGCTCTGTTGGCCGTGACTCGGACAGGCATGGAGAAGGAGTGCACTTGCCTCTGTGGCGTGGGCCTTTCGCGGGGATGCCAGTGTCGCCAGGAGGGCCAGGGCCCAGCTGAGACTGTGGCAGCCGACAGCAAGCCAGCCCCGGCCCTGGCCCCAGAAGAGGAGCACCTCCAGGCCGAGGGCGCTGCAGCGTGGCCCTGTGCTGGGGATGGAGGGATCGCGAGCCCCACGTCGCCCCCGCCATCCCCACGCTGCTGCTCGCTGCAGGACCTGCCCTGCGAGCTGCTAATGGAGATCTTTGCCTCGCTCCCCGGCACCGACTTGGCCAGCCTGGCGCAGACCTGCACCAGATTCCATCACATCCTGAACACCGACAGCATCTGGAGACGGCGCTGCCGGGAGGAGTATGGCGCTTGTGAAAACTTGCAGAACCTCGAGATGATGGGTATGTCTTGTCGGGAGGTCTATGCGAAACTGCTCCACCCATGCAGAGACATTTTTGGGTTGTGGCAGCCGGTTAACGGGCCCTATGGAGGACTGCTGGATGTAGTGGGGCACGGCTTACACATTATTGGTTGGATGCACCTGCCTTACCTTGACGCCCAACTGGATGATCCAATGAGATTCAGTCCCGTGTTTAGAATTCGCCTGACAGATAGGAAGTCGATCACGGTGGAGTGCCTGAACGGTGACAGAGGGCCCCACAGTTGCAACATACAGATTCAGAAGGAGAAGTTCTCCACCCAGTGCAGCCAGATGGACTACCACCGCATCTCTAATTGGAGCCCAGAGGATATAGGAAGGTGGCTGAGGGAAGAATGGGTGCAGGTGGTGCAGGACATTTTCCAGGAGGACAGGCTGCATTTCATCCTGAGGAAGTTCGTCTACCAACAGTATGACTACCACCGCATCTACCTCCCGCAGAGCCACCCGGACGACCTCATCAGGCCAGGCCTCTTCAGAGGCACCCACGATACCTACGGCCTAGCGATTGTCATGCTCAGCTTCCATGGAAAGCATGCCAGGGTCACGAAGATCACGGGTGACCTCAGGGTCCCTGCCGGGCAGCAGCTGATAGAGATCGACCTCATGCACCGCATCCAGCCTCTCAATGTTGAGATCTTCCGCGACTTCAACCAGCTCTCTAGCATCGTCCAGGAGGTTCATGAGCAGGTTATTCAGGAGCAACAGCAGCAAGAAGACAGGACCGAGGACGGCGAGGGTCGTGGTTGGCAGAGCCCTGTCCAGCCCAGTGTCGGTGAGTCGGGGGCTGCAGCTTTGAAGGCACAGCCTGTCCAGTTTGTTCTGCCTGCCGGCGTGAGATCAAGTAACCAGAACTACCCCCGTACCTGCAGGATGTGTTTCTATGGCGTGGGCATTGTTGCCAACTATGGCTTTGCCAACCCCCAGCGCCTCCCTGGAATCTTCATTCTGTTCGATGAGGACCACTTCGGGTTCATCTGGCTGGAGCTGAAATACTTCAGCCTGTACTGCAGAGCCCAGGTCAACCACGAGAATGCGGAGGCCTTCTAGGAGATGCTCAAGAACATTCAGTACTGATCCCCAGGGGCAGGCAGCAGGGAGAAGCTGCTTCAGAGGTAGAGCAGCTTGTACGCATTTTGGAGATTTGACCTTCTGACCAGATTACCCCCCTTCTTGGTTTAAAATGTGTTTAAAAAGAAATATATCAAATATAATAATAATAATAATAATAAAAACCACTGAATTGTACATTTTAAAGGGTGGAGTTTATAGTATGTGAATTATATCTCAATAAAGCTGTTATTAAATAAATAATTAAGTGCTGCACTGTCCTAGTTTATTTGGCTCAGTGGCTAGAGCGTTGGCCTGTGAAATGAAGCGTTCCAGGGTTCCATTCTCGTCAAGGGAACGTACTGAGGTTGCAGGCTCAATTTTTGGCTCTGTTTGGGCTGGGTGTGGTTGGCAACCAATCATTTGATGTGTCTCTCTCACATAGATGTTTCTCATTATCTCCCTCCCTTCCACTCTGAAAATCAATTAAAAAATGTCCTCGGGTGAGGATTAACAAAAAATAAAGGTGCTTGTACCATTTTATACTCCCACCATTAGTGTTTAAAAGCATCTATTATTCCACATTATTGCTGTAATATTGTAATATTTTATATTAAACTTTAAAATCACTGGTGGCTGTAAATTGATATCTTGTGGTTTTCTTTTACATTTTGCTGATTATTGATGAGGTGAGCATCCTTTTCATAAATTTATTGGTCATTTGTGGGTGCTTGTCTAAGGAATGCCTTTTCATGTCTTTTGACCATTTTTCTATTGGGTTGTCTTTCCTTTTCTTTCCTCATTGAAACCTACAAAGTGCCAGAAATCAGCAAATATTAGCAAATGCCCCCAGTGCTTGAGTACCTTTCTGGATTCCACCTTTTAAGTTGTTTTTTCTTCTGAAGAATTCCTTTATTTTCTTACCATCTAAAATATTTTTCTAAAATGTTTCCTAAAAACATTCATGATTTTTTGGTTCTTGGTGTACACCATATATATGGAATTATACATCTAGAAATTTACAATTTTGATGTAGTCAAATATATCAACATTCCCTTATATGGGTTTTGTTTTTGTGTTAAACTTAGGAGTCTTGCTTTACTTAGAGTTTTCAAATATCCTTATATATTTTCATTTTGTAACATTTAAATGTATGTTATTTAGAATTTATCTTGATAAAACATGAGAAGTAGAAATCTAATATTTTTTCAGATAGTTAACTTGTCCCAACGTCAAAGTAATTTGCCAAAAAATAAAAATATGAAATAATAAAAGTTGAAATCAATATCACACATAAAAATGGTTGTGTTTGAATAGAAGTTATAATCGTGCTTCATATGGAAAATCAATTATGAAGATAAATGATTTTCTGTTTTTAAAAGTATCTCTTAAATGTAAATAACTTAAATACTTCAATTAAAAGAAATAGGGTAGCTGAATGGATAATAAAACATGAACCATATACATGAGTCTTTTGAGTCAGGACAAAAGACTCAACACAGGATGAAAGTGACGAGATGGAAATTTTTTTTTCCATGCAAATGGAAATGAAAAAAAGCTGAGGTAGCAATCCTGATATCTGACAAAATAGACTTCAAAGTGAAGGCCATATAACAAGAGACAATGAAGGTCACTTCATAACACTAAAAGGATTGAGGGTTGACACAAGAAGAGACTATAACCTTGGTAAACATGCACCCAGTATAGGAGCACCCAAATATATATTTAAAAAAATCTTATGGATGACTTAAAGGAAGAGATCAACAGCATAATAATAATAGTAGGGGACTTTAACACCTGACTGACATCACTGGATAGAACTTCTTACTTGTCTTTGTACTCTTGGAAAAAGGCAGGACTTTTCATTCCTTGGTTTTATTTGCCACTACCTGCTTTGGTAGATATCTTTTTTTCTTAAAAATTCTCAGGATACTCTAATATAGGGCAATAAAACAGGAAACTCTATGGAGACAAAACATTTTGCTGATTCCATGTATATAATCTTTCTGTTTTTTTATAATCAGAATCTTGTATATATTGAATTTCCTGTTGTGACACAATTATTGGTGGTCTAGTAGAGAATTAGAAACAGACATGCATTAATTTGGAAGGAAAAAATGAACCATTATTTCTCCATGGATGTGAGCAATTAGGGTGAAAAGAAAGGTGCATGTAAAATCTCCATGGAAGAATATTAGACTCTTCTTTATAGATTAAATTCTGGTTTCTAGTCAAGCTTCCTTGTATCTGTAGAATTATTTCCATGCAAACAGAAATTCACTGACTGAGAAAATTAAACTTCTAATTGCAACTCATAGCTCACATGTCCACGGACCTGGGTGGGAATAACAGGGAATTTGCATTATACACACAATCTCAATCATTCAGCAATTATTTGTTGACCCTTCAAAATCTATGCTGGGTCTTGCATAGAATAAGAAGAGATTCAAATTTTCATTTATTTATTATATGGGATAATAGGTTATTTTTATTAATAGGACATATAACTTATTAGTTACACTAAAAAAGTCAAATACTATAATACATTAAAAACTAAAAGTATCTGGGATAGATTCGACACTCTTTGGAGCTTTCATATTTTATAGGGTTTTTCTCTTACCATCAGTGTATTTGTTATGGTTATAGATGAACAAGACAGAGATTGAATCTGAATTATCCTTTTGATGTGTTGGAAGTTGCCTTATAGATTACATTTCTGAAAGCTTGGTATTTGCTATTTTTTTTTCCTCATAAAAAAGAAGTTACACAATTCAAATCAACATTTGTGACATATTTCATATGCCGATGGCAAATGATACATACTGTTAGGAATGTGGTAGGCATTCACTATACACCTGTAAATTAACTGAAAAGGGAGCATAGGAAAACATTGTCCTGTTTATTTTAAGTTTTTGGTTAGTTGCATTCTAGATAAATGACAGTTTATTGCAGAGAGTAAACAGGGCCTGATGGAATCTAGAAAAGACGTGGATAGGGAAGTTTGTCCGGCAGGTCAGGAAATTTGAACCCGTTGTCAAGAGTTCTGAATCAACATTATGAGGTGCTTACCCATCAGTAATTTTATTTATTTTATTTTATTTTTTTTATATAAGCTTAAACTTTGGGTGATTTCTTAACTAGTGCCTTTTAAATTTAACATCAGCTTTTTAAAAATAATTTGCATTTTGTTTCACAACAGTTGCTCAAAATATCCTTAAAAAAGGAGGGCTGTGTTAACCTTTAATACTTAAAAATCACTTGGAGGAAGTTCAATTGAATGTTGAGTATGTGTTTGCAAGAAAGTAAAACATAACCAGAATGAGTAACCTCTGTTCTCTGAGGCTCATTAAGCATATCATTCATGCTTGAAAAAACAAAGTCAATTTATTTGTTTTAATACCCAAAAACTTTGACCCAAAAGTTAAAAGGAGCTAGCTAACCAACATAGTAAAAATAGCAGCAAACTTACTTTTTAACTGGGATGATATTTTGCCTTCCATCATTTCATCACTGAACATGTTGAAAACAGTTTGAAATAATTTTCTAGTGTTAAAGGAAATTTAAAATGTCTATTCTGATAAATATGAGTTGTAGTTCCGCCAAATTATCGAATAACCAGGTCCTCAAAACCACTCTGGAGATAAAGGAGAGTAATTTTTTAATTTAAATTATCCAAATAGTGTATTTTTATAATCCCATGACAACTCAGTAATTGTTCAACCTTCATTGGATCCCTGTTGCCTATGGGTAGAGTTATAGTCATTAAATGAAAGGATTTAAGGAAATAGCAGGAAATAGCAGGGGAAGGTTCATCTTACTTTTAAAATGTTGTTTTTAAATTAGAGATGCTACATGATGATTTAGTTCAACCTAAAGAAATCCTGATTAATCTCCTCATATATATATATATATATATATATATATATATATATATTTTGTTGATAAATCCTGGGAGATTTTCTTCTATTGTTTTCAATTTTCTCTAATGGAGAGATTGGGCTTTAGCTTAATTTGATGTTCCCTCCTAGGCCACTAATAAAGACAGGCCTCTTTCTCAAGTGACTTTAAAAAATTATCTTTCTAGAAAAATGCTGATGACAATATCTATTTGTTATTACCCTTTACACTAAATCTCTCCATACCTTCTCAATTGAATATGGTAACAACCAATTTTTTTAACATTTAATAACTAATTTTAAGTAAAACAATGGCTTTTTCCTTTCTGCAGTCATTTTGAAGCTGTAAGTATACTCTAAAAAGTACAATAGAGAATATGAAATGCACATATTTAGTGATTTTTAGACTCTGAGTTTGGTTATAAAAAAAGTGACATTGATAAAATGGCCTTTCAATAATTAAATACTATTGCTTTTTCCTTGCTACTGTGCCATATACATTGTGGGGTATAAAACCTTAAGATGTGATGACTGTCACCAACTTACTTACAGTCTGGATGAAGTGATGATACTCATGTGTGAGCATTCAGCAATTAAGTATCAACATAAGACAGCATATGACTAAATGTAAAAATAAGCAATATAAACAGCAAGTGCTCCTGATAAGGGTTGAGTATCAATAAAGGATAGTTATTTACCTAATTTAACCAGTGGGATCACCTCTTACTTCATATGCTATGCTCATGAAAAGGAAGAATTAACATTTTTAAAATGCTCATTCCACCCAAAGAAATCTATAGATTCAGCACAATTCCTATCAAAATACCAATAATTTATTTCTCAGAACTAGAACAAATAATCCAGAAATTTATATAGAACCACAAAAAAATCTTGATTAGCCACAGCAATCTTGAGAAAGAAGAGCAAAGTTGGAGGAATCATGTTACCTGATATCAAACTATATTACAAGGCCATAGTAATCAAAACAGCATGATACTAACATAAAAAAAGACATATAGATCAATGGAACAGAATAGAAAGCCCAGAAATAAACCCACTCCTATATGGTCAATTAAAATTTGACAAAGGAGGCAAGAACATACA